TGGGGAGGTGGTAAAGTGGTCCTGGAAGCTCAAGGACATAGGAAATGTGCTTAGAGCAGAAACTGGGCTACCCACCGACTCTCTTGGAATTGGCCTTCTCCTTTCCAGACACTCAAATTTATTCCAGCAAAACATACATTAAGCTCCAGGTAAAACCAAAATGTTGTGCAATGTAAAGCCGTGGACAACTGCGCAACATAAAGCACTACATCCTGTTACCTTCTGGAGAAGAGTGGGTCGGTAAAGAGCTCTGGGACAGGGAGACCTTCCTCTCTTGCTATGAGTGAAAGGCCTAAAAGATGACGGTCAAATCCTGCAACAAAACCCCCAACCTGAAGTTAGAAAATATTTTCAACATGAGAGAATTTTGTTGAGGTTAGAGTAATTACAATGTGAGCACCTTTTCCAGTTGAACAATCTTTCATCATTTTATTATGTTTTGCAAAAGCTTGTAACATCATTTGCTTCCTCTCGAGAGCCTGTGTTAAAAAAAAAACACAAGAGATACTTCAATAACAAACGGTAGAGAAACCAAACAAATAAAAAACCTGAGCTCAAAGGAATGAGGCTGCGGGTAATGGGGGAGGGACAGGGTTTTCCAGGAAGACCCTGAGACACGTGCTGCTGTGTCTTTTCCTCGCTGTCCGCTGCTTTTTCTTTCCTACGTGCCCTGCATCTCGGTTCTTTCTTTCCAGAGACAGGAAAGCAGGAACTTACGGGCAGCACTGAAGTGACATTGTCAAGTGTAAAGAAAGAAGCATGCCGGAACCGGTTTGGCTCGGTGGATAGAGCGTCGGCCTGCGGACTGAAAGGTCCCAGGTTCGATTCCGGTCAAGGGCATGTACCTGGGTTGCGGGCACATCCCCAGTGGGAGATGTGCAGGAGGCAGCTGATCGACGTTTCTCTCTCATCGATGTTTCTAACTCTCTATCTCTCTCCCTTCCTCTCTGTAAAAAATCAATAAAATATATTTAAAAAAAAAAAAAAAAGAAAGAAGCAACTCTGACTTCAAACTAAAGAACAGTCATACAAAATGATAATGATGCAGTGCTATGAAATTAAAACAAAGTAACATATACTATGTCTATCAAAAGTAAAAAAACAAATACAATGGAGTAGTGGGAAGGAACTATCCTGTTGTCTAAATGCTTCCAAAGGTACAAAACAAAACATATAAAACTGTTCTGGTTCTCACATATGAGAACAAGAATCTGTGATTTCAGAAACGTTCCACCACTGAGTCCTAACTGGTTTGGCTCAGTGTATAGAGCGTCAGCCTGCAGACTCAAGGGTCCCAGGTTCGATTCCGGTCAAGGGCATGTACCTGGGTTGCGGGCACATCCCCAGTAGGGGGTGTGCAGGAGGCAGCTGATCGATGTTTCTCTCTCATTGATGTTTCTAACTCTATCCCTCTCTCTTCCTCTCTGTAAAAAAATCAATAAAATATATTTAAAAAAATAAAGAAAAACATCCTCTCAAAAGCACCTTGGGGGTGTCTGCATCTCCCTGGTGTTACTCTAAAGGGAGAGCAATCGTAGTGAAACACTCGAGGCACTGACGATGCTGTGCCTAGAAAAGGCACCCATGGGCTTCCTCCCAGGGGCTCCCCTTTCCTGTTCTTTCCACCTACGTTCTTCCCTGTCAAATGAACAAACAGATGTTTTGAAAACTTCAGGCAAAAAAAGTCTGACAGCATTTTACTGAGCCAGGAGAGTTGAGGGAAAGAAGCTAGTTCTTTAAGGGCCAAAGCTCCCTGAGAACAAAGAAATTCTGTTAATTCTCCTTTTCAAATGCTCACAGTGGCCGCAGGATCCTGCATGCCCTGGCACCACCTGACGGCTTCCACTGTACATGATCGCACTGTCTCCGTTCGGCCATGATAAAAAAATCTTGTCATGGCTGTTTCATAGCAGCAACCAGGGCTACAAGGAAAAAAATGGAATAAGAGAATGTATTATTCTAACGAAAATGCTCTGTTATCACCTTACGCTGGCTTTGGTCAGAGACTAAGTTCTATTAACACAAGACTACAGTTGAGACTTCCAACAACGAAGATGCTAATTCCAATATCAAAGAATAAAAACTACCCTGGTACACAGGGCCTGGGGTGAAATGGAGTGTTTCAAAGGCTTGGCTGCGGTCCGGGTGTGCACACTGGAGTCTGTGGCAGGTGGCCTGTGTGACTGCCCCACAGTGATCCCTGTCTCTCACTATTCGTGCCCTTCACTTTGAATGTGGGATGGACTTAGTGACTTACTTCACTAAGAGCTCACTCACTCTTACTCTCACCTCCTTGCTCTGAGGAAAGCCAGCTGCCATGCTGGGAGCTGCCCTGCAGAGAGGCCCAGGTGGCGAGAAACTGAGGGAGGCCTCTGCGCAACAGCCTGGGAGGAACTAAACCCCACAAATAACCACATGTGTGAGCTTGAAGCAGATCCGCTCTGAAAGTACCTGCAGATGAGAACACAGCCCTAGCTGACACCCTGACTATAACCTCACAACAGAGCTGAAGGCAGAGGCACCGAGCTAAGCTGCAACTGGATTGTTGACAGAAAATGTGAGGTGACATGCCCTGACGGGTGTGGCTCAGTTGGTTAAGCATCGTCCCTTGTCCCGAAAGGTTGCCAGTTCAGTTTTTGGTCAGGGCACATGCCCAGGTTGCGAGCTTAATCCCAGTCAGAGTGCATGCAGGAGGCAGTCAATCAATGTCTGTCTGTCTGTCTGTCTGTCTGTCTCTCTCTCTTCTCGAAAAAAAAGGTAGGAAAAAAACACTGGGAGTTAGAATGAAGTAGCTATGGTAAAGATATATCCTTGGAGTTCAAGAGCCTGAAGATGGAAAATGAATGTCCCCATGCTCAAAGTCACCAATTATACGAGAGATGCAAATCAAAATGACAATGCGGTATCATCTCACACCTGTCAGACTGGCTATCATCAACAAATCAACAAACAACAAGTGTTGGAGAGGATGTGGAGAAAAAGGAACCCTTCTGCACTGCTGGTGGGAATGCAGACTGGTGCAGCCACTGTGGAGAACAGTATGGAGCTTCCTCAAAAAACCAAAAATGGAACTCCCATTTGACCCAGTGATCCCACTTCTAGGAATATATCCCAAGAAACCAGAAACACCAATCAGAAAGGATATATGCACCCCTATGTTCATAGCAGCACAATTCACCATAGCTAAGATCTGGAAACAGCCTAAGTGCCCATCAGTAGATGAATGGATTAGAAAACTGTGGTACATCTACACGATGGAATACTATGCTGCTGTAAAAAAGAAGGAACTCTTACAATTTGCAACGGCATGGATGGAGCTGGAGAGCATTATGCTAAGTGAAACAAGCCAGTCAATGAAGGAAAAATACCACATGATCTCACTCATTCATGGATAATAAAGACCATTACAAACTTTTGAACAATAATAGATACAGAGGCAGAGCTGCCTCAAACTGATTGTCAAACTGCAGTGGGAAGGCCAGAGAGGGTTGGGGGGCAGAAGGGAGGGGAGTAAGAGATCAACCGAAGGACTTGTATGCATGCATATAAGCATAACCAATGGACATAAGTGGGGGTTAGTGGGGGGGATGAGGACACATGTGTAATACCTTAACTAATAAAGAATTTAAAAAAAGAAAAAAAAGAAAATGAATGTCCCTCACCGTCCATGAAGTCTATAATAGGCCAGCTGAAGTGCAAGCTGAATAAATGTATCAGGGTGAAGCATCTTCTTCTTGGTTAGCTTTTTGCCAAAATGTGTAAAGGGATACGCCACAACCTGCAGATCAGATGCCTAACAAAAAGAATTAAACGGGAACAGTGAATAATCAGCTAAGGAGAACATCCCAAAGATAGCCAGGTTATCATTTGTATTAAAGTAATTCAGACGCAGTTAAAGGTATTAGAGCTATAATTTAAGTGTTTCATACTGTCATACTTAGATGCTAGCCAAGTACACACTTATTTTTATATACAGTAGTTAAAAGAGATAGCATGCCCTGGCCAGGTGGCTCTGTGGGTTGGAGTGTTGTCCAGTACACCAAAAGGTTGCAGGTTCTATCCTGGTCAGGTGCGTATGGGAGGCAACCAATTGATGTTTCTCTCTCTCTCTCTCTCTCTCAAAAAAAAAAAAAAGTAACAAAAAAACATAGGATAAAAAAAGAGAGAGAAGGCATTACTATCTAAAAGAAAAGTTAAAAAAAATAATCTACCTGCTTGAGATACTGGGCTTTAGCTTGATTGATGTCACTTAATACTTTCTCATCCACAGTGAAAACAAGCTCCTCTGGAAGTGGCATATCCCGTGCTTTTTCTGAACCCTGAGAGTAGGGAAGAATTGAGAATATTATATTTATAAAAACATGAGGAGAAAGAAAGCTAAAATATTTGTTCTAACATACCTTCCATCTTCCTTCATTCTCCAAAATCTTCTCATCAACATAATAGCTGATGCTTACCATAACCATTGCATCATAAGGAGCATGCTGAAATGAAAATACACATTATTTTGAATACATTATACCAAGTTGAAACTTGACCCAATATTTTATTCTCACTCTTCCTCCATTCTTTCACACATGTGCCCTGACCAGGAATTGAACCAGCAACCTCTCGGTACATGGGACTATGTTCAACCAACCGAACCACACCAGCCAGGGCAGTGGCCACTATTTTTTTTTCTTTTTCTTTTCCACTGTGCAACCTGCTTCGGTTCCTGCTGCCTATGGGCAGAGGCGGGCGATGGTTCAAGGCTGCAGCGTGCTCTGGCCTGGGGCATATGAGAGACCCAGAGGGACAGGCCTGCCATCAATCCAAACCCATGCACTCATTTTAAACAGCATGTTACGCGTATTGCCTTCATATAAATGAAATAAAAATGGCCAAACTTAGGTGGACAAATAAAGCATCAGGAAAGCATTAGAATTTTTCATATTTTCTAATTTTTTGAAAGTGAGTATTAGCTTTCCACCAGGGGGTGGATTGGTAGAATTATAAGTTGAACAGATGTATATCCATTAGTCTTACTCTTTGTAACTGGTTCCAGTAAGAGTTAGAGATTAATACCATTATCCTTAATGAAACAATGTATGTGATGTCTGTGAAAATTCTTTGTAAATCTATAAAGCACTACACAGTTGCGAGATGCAGTTAGAAAAGGGGTTTGTCAGTTTGTTAGGTGAGCTGTTACTGACAGGTGGCCTCAGCTGCTGGAGCCTCTTGTACTGACCTCCCTCATGAGCCCTTCCTGACATTGTGGCTGCTACCTACCTGGCAACATTACACTGTGCTCCGAGGCTCCACTGGGCCCTGGTCCAGGGCAGCAGAGCTATGTCGTGTTGGGCTGATATGTTAGACACCTTGTTTCTCCTTGTGAACCTGGGCCACCCATGTGGGCTGTGTTTATAAGTTAAGCCCCCCTTCTTCCTCCCCGAGGCTGTCACATTCAGTTCATGAATGGTGATTGTATTTAACATAAAGTGGTAGCAGCAGCACAGAGAAAAAGGCTGTCTGATGGAACTGCCATCAAAGGAACATGGAGAAAATATGGCAAAAAGTTTGTCCTTCAAAATAAGCGATGGAAAAATTCATTAGCTGCAATTCCTTTCTCTAGATATAGCTTTCAAACCTGTAACACCGTGTTACCCAGCCCATCTTTCCCACAGTCCTTAAACATTGAGCATTATTTCTGCCACTTCTGAACACTCTTGTAGATCTGTGAATAAAATTATTATGCTTTTTAACTCATCTAGTGGACCTATGTCTTTACCTAAAGTTCATGACCATCCTCTATTTAGCCTTCAGAGAGTCCGCTATCCCCACATGCTTTTGCAGTGCTCTTACAATTCCAGATCACCTTCCATTGCATCCATATGCCTGCTCTCACTTCCAGTACAAAAAGCAAGTATTTTCTTTAGATGGTTCATGTTTACTGCACACCCTCCCCATTACCTGATTAGGTGCTTCCAACTTTAAATATTTGTTCTTTCTCAGAAAATAAAATATGACAATTACTATACTTTACAATATTCATATTTTGATCACTAGATGATAAGGGCATTTGAGAATTCTGCACTTCTTTTCATGTTTCGGGCTGGATTCCCAGCAGGGAGCCTGCAGGAGGCAGCTGGTGATGTTTTTCTCTCCCTCTCCCTTCCTCTTTCTAAAATCAATAAAAACATACTTTAAGTAATAAATAACAAATAATAAAGTTGTGGACGTTGGTTCTGAGTCCACACCCCACTATCTGCTAGCTGTGCAATTGTGAGAAAGTCACTTAATTCTTTAAGTAAATTGCCTCTTCTCTTAGTAGGGATAGTAAGACAGCTGCTGTGAAAATGATTTTCATCATGCTTATACAGAACCTGTCTCACAGCAATAATCAGTAATTACTGTGACTATTAACAACTAATGTTTACTACATGCTTCTATGTGCCCTTCACAAAGCCCTACAACAAAGCCTATATAGACAAAACAAACTCACTGACCCCAGGATTTTAAATCCCAAGAGGGAAATGTGATTAATTAGCATAATCACAAAAGCACATATTCAAGTATCAATGGACGAGAACAGCAACAGGGGTTTGAATTAAGAACAGTTTTACTTTACAGTATGTATATACTTACTAATGATGTTTTATAGGTTAAATTGCATTTTCTGTAACATCTTAGGTTACAAGGGAAACCTACCTGGAATTTTAAAAGCAGATTACGTGTGGAGATAATCAGACTGATTTTATGAATATATGGGTGTTAATGAATACACATAAGACATGTCCATATACTTACTATTACTGCACGAAAGCATCTCAGTTGTGTTGAGATGTACACTCATAATGAGACCAATATTCTTTATTCAGAGATAGAAAAGATCATGGAATTTCTTTTCATTCTGAATTTGAGCAAACAGCAGGATGTTTGTTGCTACTAGTAAAATAGTGCAAGGTGTTGTTTTTGTTGGGGTGGGGTGGGGGTTGGGAATGAAGGAGGAAAGCAAGATGATGAGTTCTTCTTGATGATGAGAGCAACTCAGCCCCATGTAACAATATAACATACAGTGAAGCAAAACTCTCAAAATGAGAATAGGTAAAACTGGAAAAGTAGAATTGCAAGCCACCTATATAAAAATGGCCTTGAAAGTATTAAACCAGGGAAGACAGCAGGCATGGGGAGGAGGTATGACTTTAAGGTCAGTTTTAGAACAAACAAACAGGGAAGGACTGGCAAGAGGGCGGAGGCAGTGCCAGAACCGTATGAGGGGTGTCAGCTGCAGCAGACAGGTCCAAGAGAAATGGAGGGCAAAAGGCAGGCGGCAGTCAGCTCCTTCACCACGGACAGTTTCCAGGGACTAGTGAGGACATAAACCAGACAGAGGAGATGAAGAAGAATCAAAGAGAAGCTGAAGAGTAGAAAACTGAGGCAATTAACAAGAAGTATTCTGTCAACACTGGACTCCAAGGAAGAGCAAAGACAACAAAACTACAAAATGACTCATGGCAACCTTTCACTCTGATGAGCTACTATAATAGACACCTAATTTCATTACCTACTCATTAGTCACTCCACCTTTGTGTGTGATAATTACAACTTCATTTTCCTTTAGGCAACCACCACATATCTTTGTGGTGGTTTGAATAAGAGTGATTCTACCCCTAGGTCCCAAGGTTTGGCATGTGACCCAGACCAGGTGAATCAGAGTACCCGATTACCTGGAATGGGCACAGGTTCACAATCGACAATCACATGAGCGCTATCCCCAGGACTTCTGCTGGTACCACTGGGGGGAAATAACTGGCTATTTCCATAGCGAAGAGATCTAATCTGTGAAATGAGCTGAGAAGACAGGAGATTGTGGATACAACAATCAAATGGGATAGTCTACCTAAATATAAAGCCAAACATAGGAAAGCCATACCAAAAACTGGAAAGAGTAATTTCTAATGAAAGTGTTGGGACACTGGAAGGCAGCTTGACCCAAATGTAGCTGCATACCTAGGCCAAAAAATATCTTCTTAAGCTAATGCCCATTTGATTTAGGTTTGTATCACATAAAACTGAATAAATACTGATTAATACAATCACTGAACGTAATAGGTCTTTTTAGTATTTTGCAGTCACTAAATGCTTTTAGGTAAGAACCGCTGTCTTAGAGGAAGGCCATCAAAAACTAACAGAAGTCCCATTTGCTTTTTTTCTCCTTAGTTTCCATTGTCCCAGGAGCTGTATCGGTAAAGATATTGTTACGACGTATGTCTGATATTTTGCTGCCTATGGATTCTTCTAAGATTTTTATGATTTCCCGTCTTACATTTAAGTCCTTTATCCATTTTGAGTTTATTTTTGTGTATGGTATAAGTTGGTGGTCCAGTTTCATTTTTTTTGCATGTATCTGACCAATTTTCCCAGCACCATTTATTGAAGAGACTGTCTTGACTCCATTGTATGCTCTTGCCTCCTTTGTCAAATATTAATTGAGCATAATAGCTTGGGTCGATTTCTGGGTTCTCTGTTCTGTTCCATTGGTCTATATGTCTGTTCTTGCGCCAGTACCAGGCAATTTTGAGAACAGCGGCTTTGTAATACAGCTTGTTATCTGGTATTGTGATCCCTCCAACTTTGTTCTTCTTGCTCAGGATTGCTGTGACTATTTGGGGTCTTTTTTTATTCCATAGCAGCACAATTTACAATAGCTAAGATTTGGAAACAGCCTAAGGGCCCATCAGCAGATGAGTGGATTAAAAAACTGTGGTACATCTATACAATGGAATACTACGCTGCTGTATAAAAGAAGGAACTCTTACCATTTGCAACAGCATGGATGGAACTGGAGAGCATTATGCTAAGCAAAATAAGCCAGTCAGAGAAAGATAAATATCACATGATCTCACTCATTTGTAGAATATAATGAACAACATAAACTGATGAACAAAAATAGATCCAGAGACTGAGAAGCATCAATCAGACTGTCTAACCTCAGAGGGAAAGCAGAGGAGGAGGGGTAGTAAGAGATCAACCAAAGGACTTGTATGCATGCATATAAGCATAACCCATAAACACAGACAGTAGGGGGGTGAGGGCATGTGCTGGGGGGTGGGAACAGCTGGGGAGAGGTCAATGGGGGAAAAAGGAGACATATGTAATACTTTAAACAATAAAGAATTTAAATTTTTAAAAAAACTAACAAAAAATCTACATCATACTACACTCTATGCCAAATTGCATACTTTATGAAAAGTGTTACAATGAGATTACAAGTGTGTCCTGCAAATCTGACTAAGGTTGATTTTTAAATTTTCTTGATTCATAGACCTCCTGACTATCTACCAGAAGATGGCAAAGTAGAGCTAATGAACAGCATGGGAGAACAGAAGAGAAATAAGCAAAGATTTTTTGTTGTTGTTGTTTTATAAAGAAGGTAAAAATGGTATTAAATACCAGACATTTTAATATCCATAGTGAAATAAATAATGTTCCATAGAGCATGTGTCATTTTGGGAAAATAGTTACAAAATTACTAGGTAAATCTAGAAATATCCACATATATTTCTCTGTGCATAGAACATATGCATAACGCTATATATCTTTTAAAATAGGTTATAATTCTCAACAGTGAATTTTAAAGTGCTTATTCTACATGAAAATATATGCAAATTCAACTTTGCACATATACACCAAACTATCAGCTTTACTACAGATAAAAAGAACTTGTCCTACACTCTACTTTCACTGAGTAGAATTCATAACCAAACCTTTTATGATAATGACATAAAAATGAAGAAGTGTTTACTCATACTACCACACCATAGCATAAATATTGTAGCTTATTGCCATTAAATCAACCTAAAAGATAAAAAAGAAAAAATAACTATAGTTAAGTTACTTACATCACAATTACAGCCTAATACTCCATTAGAAAAGGAAATCAAGTTATAGGATTTGTCACCCCAGCGTACTGTTGGATCTCCAGTGAGGATCATTGCAATTACCTAAAATAATTTAATATTTCCAAATTAAAAGAATTTTAATATTGATTTGTAAGTATTTTATCTTAAACATAAACACACACACACACATATATATATACATATATGTAAATATAGTCTCACTTTTCCCCTTCAGCTAAACCAGTGGTTCTCAACCTTCCTAATGCCGCGACCCTTTAATACAGTTCCTCATGTTGTGGTGACCCCCAACCATAAAATTATTTTCATTGCTACTTCATAACTGTAATTTTGCTACTGTTATGAATAGTAATGTAAATATCTGATATGCAGGATGTATTTTCATTGTTACAAATTGAACATAATTAAAGCATGGTGATTAATCACAAAAACAATATGTAATTATATATGTGTTTTCCGATGGTCTTAGGCAACCCCGTGAAAGGGTCGTTCGACCCCCAAAGGGGTCGCAACCCACAGGTTGAGAACCGCTGAGCTAAACCAAATTTAAATAATGATAACAGTTATACTCAAGAGATAATAATTCTGGTCCTCTAGATATTTCTTAAAAATTTTGAGAAATCCTCTATAAAAGAGAATGCTAGTACAATGTTCGTAAATGTTTCGAGAACATACAATTGAAAGGACAATGCTTTTGCAACTTGAATAGTGTTAAGAGGCCTTGATAAATTCAGTCATTAAAATTTAGTTACGAGAAAAATATTTCAAAATTCAGATCTCACCACACCTGTTTCTCAAACAGTAGGTTTTGGCCCACTAGTTGAGTCATGAAATGAATTTAGCACATCACAGTATGTACTCTTTACAAAAAGAAAGAATCAAATAAAACAAATATCAGAGTACATCACAGATAGTAAAAGTAATTACTGTTTTGTGAAACTTCTATTATATACGTGTGTGTGCATAAGCATGTGTGTGTGTACATGTATGTGTAGTGAGCTGCAGTCTAAATGTATGTCTAACTGTAGATTGCAGTAAAAAATACTGCATTAAAACATATTCTTCCTCAAGAAGTTTAGTGATTCTTTTGCCAAATAAATAAATAAGAGGAAAAGTTGGTTTCTGGCTACAAGGTTTTTCAATTCTGTATTATTTTATTGCTATAATTTCATATTGATGAATGCATTATGAAATAATTTAAGTGAGACTTCTAAAAATATGACTTTCACCTTTTATTATTTCCCAGGAAATGATAATATTTTCCCAGGGGGGGAAAGGTAAAGCCACATTTACCCTTAAACTCACTACAGTCAGTTTGTTCACTAAAACCTAATGATAAAATAAATTACTTACAGTTTGATATAATTCTTAGGACAGAACTCAACAACTAAGGTTTCAAGGCACACTGGTATGGGTCATAGGTAGGTTCTCATGTCACCATTGGCATGAGAAGCTCATTTAGCTCAGTGACCTGTGCAAATTTTCTGTATATGCATTCAATAAAAGGGTAGAGAAACACTGATATGGGATTTGCAAACAATAGTCATACTTCTTTAAACAACATAAAAGATTTATCTAACTGGACCTAAACAATGTGGAAAGAATTCACAAAGCGTTATTTATCTACTAGAGGCCCAGTGCACAAATTCGTGTACAGGTGGGATCCCTCAGCCTGGCTGGCAAGTGGGGCCAATTGGGGCCAACCAGCCAGGGGGAGGGACCATGGAAGGTTGGCCGGCTGGCCGGCCGGGGGGAGGGACTGTGGGAGGTTGGCCAGCCACGGGAGGTTGGCTGTGGGAGCGCACTGACCACTAGGGGGAAGCTCCTGCCTTGAATGTTTGCCCCCTGGTGGTCAGTGTGCATCATAGCTACTGACCGGTTGTCCAGTCGTCCGGTCGTAATCATTGCCTAAGCCAGTGGTCGGCAAACCGCGGCTCGCGAGCCACATGTGGCTCTTTGGCCCCTTGAGTGTGGCTCTTCCACAAAATACCACGTGCAGGCGCGCACGTACAGTGCGATTGAAACTTTGTGGCCCATGCGCAGAAGTTGGTTTTTGGCCTGGGCAAGTCTATTTTGAAGAAGTGGCGTTAGAAGAAGTGGGGGGTGTCGGTCGTTTGGGCGACGGAAGACGCAGCGCAGGCGGGCCATGGGATACGCAGCGCGGGGGAGGTACACTGTTTTGAGGTACGTTCACTGAGGTCGACTCCTTCCAACTCTCCCATCCACACTCGTCTATCTGAAACAAGTATACAAGACGAGTGTGGATGGGAGAGTTGGAAGGAGTCGACCTCAGCAAACATACCTCAATCAGATTAAGGACGTTTTTAACAAAGGCCAGCTTAGGAGTACCCTAATTAAGTTAATAACAATGTACTTAACTATATAGTTTAAGTTTAAAAAATTTGGCTCTCAAAAGAAATTTCAATTGTTGTACTGTTGATATTTGGCTCTGTTGACTAATGAGTTTGCCGACCACTGGCCTAAGCAACCGGATGACCGTATGACCAGTTGCTATGACACGCACTGACCACCAGGGGACAGATGCTCAACACACAGGATCAGGTTCCCTCCTGTCTGGATCGGGCCTGCGGGGATCGGACCGAAACTGGCTATCCAACATCCCCCGAGGGGTCCAGGATTACAAGAGGGCGCAGGCCAGGCCAAGGGACCCCACCATGCACCGGGCCTCTAGTATAGATTATAAACTTCAATTTGGGACATGTATATATACCATGTAAGAAAATGTAAGAAAACATCTTATATTAAATGTAAGAAAACATTTTAAGAGCCTGCATATAACAAAATAATCTTCTCATGTTCAATACATACAAGAGTCCTTCAGAAAAAATTTGTGGGAAGAAATAACAGAACAAGATAGTTAAGTACCTGTGAATAATCTTCTGGTGTTACATGTGGACTGTCATCCTCTAAGGAATACACTAGCAAACTGCTCTGAATTTTTTCCAACCTAGTCAAGTTCTCTGGATCAAGATTAATCAAATAGTCTCGTGCCTAAAGGAGATAATGATTAAATGTTACAAATTAATACTATATCCAGGAGAGAAAGGTTCATTAAGACAAGTATATAATTAATAATGTATTAGATATTTGAAACTTGCTGGGAGTAGATCTTAAAATTTCTCATCACAAGAAAATAAATTTGTAACTGTGTGACACGTTAACTAGACACTGTGGTGATTATTTCACAATATGTACAAATATCAAATCATTATGTTATACACCTGACTACAGTGTAATGGTCTATGTCAATCATAGCTCAATTAAAAAAAGGAAAGTGTAAATTATAACCTTTGCCCATCGAGTTCGCTCCTCGCTAGTTAATGCTGCCACCCCAGGTCCATCAGGTTCGCTATGGCACTTCCTGTGGATGTATGTCAGTTGCCTTAAGGAAGATTAAAGAAAGAGGATTCAAAAAGAGCATAGGCAGGATCACTAGCTACTTTGGCCTTTAATAGGTCATAATGTTTACCCGTGTTTAAATGCTTTGATATATTATCCAAAGAAAAAGGTTATAATCTCAACGGTAATGGATTTATTTCCAATACCACATCATTTTTAAAAAAGAGAACTCCATGATTAATTAACACCAAAAGTGTATTTGACAATAAATTTGGTGTTTGGCCGATATAATTTATGCTTTTAAAATGTACATGTACTTTCAGGGTCTAAGTAAATACCCCTTACACAACAGAGAACTTGAATTATATTCTGGTAAATAATCTCACAAATATCATACACATCTTATCTAGCTGAAAACTATGTACATAAATACAGGGTGTCCCCCAAAAATGTATACACACTTCAACAACTGATTCTTTCTTTTCAGATTTAACCCATTAGAATTAATAATTATTCAAAGTGCATATACAATTTTTGGGACACCTTATATTTAACAGAGGACTTACCTATACCAAATTAATATTTGTGTTAAACCCAACAAACATTAAGTACCATTTAGTCCATGTTGTTATTAGTTACAACCATTATATTTTAAAGACTCTATTAGCTAAGAATAAATTCTTTCACCCCATAACATTCTATATTCCCAGTCTGGTGAGTTTAATGTAATTTTTATTTTTATTTTTATTTTTTTTTAAATATATTTTATTGATTTTTTACAGAGAGGAAGGGAGAGGGATAGAGAGTTAGAAACATTGATGAGAGAGAAACATCGATCAGCTGCCTCTTGCACACCCCCTACTGGGGATGTGCTCGCAGCCAAGGTACATGCCCTTGACCGGAATCGAACCTGGGACCCTTGAGTCCGCAGGCTGCCGCTCTATCCACTGAGCCAAACCAGTTAGGGCAGTTTAATGTAATTTTTAAACAAATGGCCAGTAAATAACAGGGTTCTTCCATAAAGAAATACATTTTTATCAGTCAAAAATCTACAGAGGTTAGTTTCAGCCTTACTTCCTCATGGCACATGCTAAGAAATTACCTCAATTAAAAGCTTCCAAGCATTTCTCAGAAAGTGAGCTAATGTAGCTTAAAATATGATCAAAAGGCACCACTAGTAGCCATCCCTTATTTGTGACTTTTTCATTCCAAACTGGAAAAAAATACAACTTTCAATTATATTTTTGTTCCTTAACTATTTCTGTAATACTGACGAGGAAATAAACTCCTCCCCCTTTATTTGAACACGAGTGGAGTTCTGGGCAGCATAGCTTCTTCACCAAACAATCTGCACCTATGGGGTGGGGGTAAGTGACATGCCTTGTCTGTCCCTGTTTACCTGTCTTTGCTAAATCTGATTTTGCTTTAATTAAAAATAAAGTTTCACCCTAGCCAGTTTTGCTCAGTGGATAGAGCGTCGGCCTGCAGACTGAAGGGTCCCGGGTTCGATTCCGGTCAAGGGCATGTACCTTGGTTGCGGGCACATCCCCAGTAGGGGGTGTGCAGGAGGCAGCTGATTGATGTATCTCTCTCATCCATGTTTCTAACTCTCTATCCCTCTCCCTTCCTCTCTGTAAAAAATCAATAAAAATATATTTAAAAAATAAAGTTTCTACAGTTGGTGGGTATGTGGTAAGCACAGTGCCTAGGCATGAATTCTGAATGCTAACGTAATAAAATCTACCTCAGCCTTTTTCTCCACATGGTATTGGTTGCTGCTCTTTCCTTACCACCTCAAGTCACCAGTTTTGACTATGAAACTTTCTCCTGCTCCCTGATATGGCCATTTTTATATTCAGTGGGAAATGATTGACTCATAAAACATGGTCATTATTACAAAGAAATTACTAGAGAAAATGTGTTAAACCTGAAATGACATTTTTTAAGTTTGATAATAAAAGGTCAGATAATAACTGCCTAAATCTTCACCATTAAGAAGTCCATACTCCCTAAATCAATCTACTGATTCAATGCAATCCCTATCAAAATCCCAATTGCATTTTTCAAAGAAATAGAAAAAAAAATCCTAGAACTCACAAGAAGCCCCCCTCCCCCCCAAAAAAAACAACTCTGAAGAGCCAAAGCAATTTTGAGCAAGAAGAAAAAAGCTGAAGGTATCACACTTCCTGATTTCAAAATAAATATAATACTACAAAGCGACAGTAATCAAAACAGTATGGTGTTGGCATAAAAATGGACATATACGCCCTAGCCGGCTTGGCTCAGTGGATAGAGCGTCGGCCTGCAGACTGAAGGGTCCCAGGTTTGATTCCGGCCAAGGGCACATGCCTGGGTTGCAGGCTCGATCCCCAGTAGGGGGCCTGCAGGAGGCAGCCGATGGATGATTCTCTCATCATTGATGTTTCTATCTCTCTCCTTCTCCCTTCCTCTCTGAAATCAGTAAAGAAATATATTTTTTTAATGGACATATACACAGTGGGACAGAATAGAGAGCCCCCAAATAAATCTACTTGTATATATATATATATATGGTCCACTGAGGTTGCCAAAGGTGCCAAGAATACACAATGGGAAAAAGATAGTCTCTTAAATAAATGGTGCTGGGGAAACTGGATTGCACATACAGAAAAATGGAACTGGACCCCTATTTTATAGCATACACAAAAAATCAATTCAAAATGGATTAAAGGTATAAATGTAAGACCTTAACAATAAAACTCCTAGAAGAACACATGGGGGGAAAGCTTCTAACAACCTTGGTAAGTATTTCTGATCGTGGGGAAGGGCACCTATTAAGAATAGAGCCACAGTTGTTTAATAATTATTCACCCTGCCTGGCCGGAGTGGCTCAGTGGTTAAGCATCAAGCTATGAACCAGGAGGTCACAGTTCGATTCCCAGTCAGGACATATGCCTGGGTTGTGGGCTTGATCCCCAGTGGAGGGCATGCAGGAGGCAGCCAATCAATGATTCTCTCTCATCATTGATGTTTCTCTCTCTCTCCCTCTCTGAAATCAATAAAAATATGTATATTTTTTGTTTAAGTCTATATGTACATATAAGTAGACACGTAAGGCTAGAATACAACAAACTAGTAACAGTGATTAATTCTGGGGCAGCAGATGAAATTGGTAGTATTTGTAATGTTTTCCTTTCTCCAACAAGAATATATTCATATATGCCTAGTAAAACTAAAAATTAATTTAAATTAAAAAGAAGATAAAAATATTTTTTTAAATTCAGCATATATAAAATTCTTAATTTTCTGTCACCTTATAAATAGGCAATTCTGAATTTATTTTTAACTCATGCAAAAGCTTAAGACCTAATGAGATTCAAGAAAGTAGTTTGAAAACCTGAGAATCTCTGGCGGGGTGATCAAACATCCTTCGTGAATTGCATCAAAGACAAAAACGCGGCCTCGGCACAGCACTACAATGTGAGTTGGGGAATACCCTTCGCTCTCTGGAAAAAACAACAGAAAACACAAAACCAAATCTTTCAAAGTTAAACAAGAGTAAAGTTGCATATACATTCCTCCAATATTTTATTTATCATGTATTCAGTAAGTCACATGAATAAAACACTCATGAGGTGATGGAATTCCAGTTACTATGATATAAATGCATGCTCCCAAAACCTGTCCATGTGAAACATCTAGAAATCCATGGGAGTTTCAAGTATTTGTACACCTTGAAAATCATATAAATTCCAACTACTGCAGGGCTTTCTAGTTTTATTTACGGATAGGAGGGGGAAAGGGAAAGGGTAGCAGAGGGAGCCAGGGAGAGAGCTATTTGAATTAGCAAGTTTCTCTTTCGTATTATGTTAATGTTGATTGCAATAATATCTAGCTATTATTTCTCAATAAAATATTTTTCAGGAGCATAAGGACACTGTATGTCTGAGTGGCAAAGAGAAAGAATTCTGCCCAATCTGTAGTTGTATTTAAGGCTCTGATAATGGCCAGTAAGCCACTGGTATCTGATTCTGTGTTTCCTTTGGCACACCTTAGCTCCCCAAGAACTAGTTTGCTACAAACCTCAGACTATTCTGATTTAGCCTCATTTTTTCAAGTACTAGTCCCTTTAACAAGGGTCTTCTTGTATGACTCCTGCTCCTTCCTTCTAAGAAAGGGGGGTGGAGGGGTGGGGTGGTGAAAGAACAGTTAGAAAAGACATATATTGCCTCTGGGAGGAAGTTTACTGGTTGATATTATGTACAAGGAACTGTGCCAAATGCTTTATATATATTATCTCATGAAATCTATTCATCAACTGTTCAGTTCCTGATAGGATTACTAATTCTTCCCTTATATCCTATTTCAAGACCTAAGAGGTGAGGCATGCATTTTCCTTGTCCCTCATGGCTAATCCCAACCCGTTTCTTCTCTCTTCTCCTTCAACCCTCCCCCTTTCTCTTTTACATTTACCACCATGTAAATGGAAAAGATTCAGCCGAAACCGGTTTGGCTTAGTGGATGGAGCGTCGGCCTGCAGACTGAAAGGTCCCAGGTTCGATTCCGGTCAAGGGCATGTACCTGGGTTGCGGGCACATCCCCAGTGGGGGATGTGCAGGAGGCAGCTAGTTGATGTTTCTCTCTCATTGATGTTTCTAGCTCTCTGTCTCTCTCCCTTCCTCTCTGTAAGGAATCAATGGAATATATTTTTTTAAAAAAGGGAAAGAAGGAAAAAAAAATGTACAAGATTCATATAAAAATAATAAATGTTTGGAAGGAGGGTGACAGAAGGGTGCTACCTCAGGATGAGCCTAAGATGGAATATTTGAGCAAAGGAAAAGAAGGAGTGAACCATGAAAGTATTTGCAGAAAGAGAGTTCCAGGCAAAGGAAACAACAGCAAGTACAAAGGCATTAGAACAAAAATGAACTGGTTTGCTTAAAGGAAAACAAGATCAGTGCAGCTGTAGCAGGCAGATATGGTTGGGACCAGATCACACTGGCTTCAGAAAGGACTTTCAATGTTAAGTATGATGGGTTTTAAGCAAGAGAATAATAATGTGATCTAATTAATACTTTAAAAAGGTCACTCCAGCAGTTATACGGAGAAGAGATTATAAGAGGAAAGAGAATACACAGCAAGATCAATTAGGAAGTAACTGTAGGGGTCCAGATGATAATGATAGAAGTGGAAGGTGATGGTGGCTGACTAGAGTGTGACACGTGAAAGAGACAAGAGGTCAATTTTTTTTTCCCTTTGAGAAGATATTATAGATTGGAACTACCCACTAAGAAGGGGAAACTGATAACACAGCAGAGAGAGAAAAGATAATCCAAAGCAAGGTCCTTGATTAGGCAAGAGGAGGAGGGGCCCAGTGCACCACATAGAAGGGTTGTCCTAAGGAGTCAGACAGTGTGTCTATTTTTAAAAAGGGAAGGCAAAATATATGACTGTGCAATAATGTATTGCAAGGGGGTTGTAGGATGGGCAAATACTTAAATGAGTATATTTCTATGACTGCTGTAACAAATTCCCACTAACTTAGTGGAAAGTACCACTAACAACACAAATGTATTACCTTACAAGTCTGGGGACCAGCAGTCTGAAATGTATCTTACTGGGCTAAAATGAAGGTGTCAGCAGATCTGTGTTCCTCCTGGAGACTAAGCAAGAATGTCTCCTTCAGGTTTCTAGCCTCTGGAGGCTGCCCACATTCCTGGGCTCTGCCCCCCTTCCTCCATATTTGAAGTCATTGAGGGGAAATCATGACTTCCTCATGCTGCTGTCTCTGGTTTTTCTCTTCTGCCTCTTTCTTCCACTTGTAAGAACTCCTGTGATTACTTTGGGCCTGCCTGAATAATCCAGGACAATCTCCCCATCTCAAGGTCAATTTATTAAATTCATTAGCAACCTTAATTTCATCTACAATCTTAAATCCTCTTTATCATGTAACCTAACACATTCAACCGGTTCCATACTAGCCAGGGAGGGAGGGGCGGGGTGTAAATTCTACCTACCTGATAGGCTGGTAAATTAGGGAATGGGAAGATTGCTTTACATTTGTTGAGAATAAGAAAAGAGTTCATTAGCTGAGAATAAGGAAGGAGAAAGGCATGAAATAGCCTTTTCTGGGAGAATAACCTGACAAGAGAATATGGCAAGATAGTAATGTGGGTCCACTTAAGGTTTAACTGAGAAAAGTAAGTGGGGGGGGGAAAGGGAGAAAGAAAGAAAAAGAGAAGTAAATGAGGTTTTGTGGTATTCTCTGGCCAAGTAAATTGCTAGGATAGGTATCTTAGTATGAAGAGGTAAAACTAAAAATTGAAATTTAAACAGTGTTATGAATTTCAGGGGTGCAGTGGGGAGGAAGCGGGCGGGCAAAGATTTCAATGCATATGCTACGGAGTGATTACAGTGAAGAACCATAGATAGAAGTGAAGATTGGGGTGGGGGAGGGAGGGATGGAACTGTGAAGAACTGTAGGGTAACTGAATTGTAAGGCACAATGTGGTCAAAAAATAGCTGAGGTGGACTACGAAAGGAAGTGAGTGGTGAAGAGAAGGTGGATATCAGACTGAGATGCTTTTAACTGTAATGTTAGAGATGATGGAGTTTTTGATAATAACAAAGTTAGGGCATTGCCATGGGAGTGGGTTGCTGCTTGAGAAGGAGAAAAAAAATGAAGAAAAGGAGAGGGCCTATATCATCTACAACTGGAAGCTCAAGTCATCAAGAATGTGACTGAGGTAATAATGGAAAGACAGTGAGACCGGTGCTAAAACAACCCATGAATGAAGGGGAAGGATCAAAAGGAAAGTCACTAAAACAGAGACAAGCAGTGGTGATACATTTTTTCCAAGAGCTCAAATTGTAAGAAAGAAGAAAAAATGGACAAGGCAATAGGAAATAGAGAGGACATGAAGATCTCCTACATGCCCTGTAGCACCAAAGTATAAGAGGGAAAAAATCCCTACTAGAGATGGTCATATGGAAAGCAGTACGCTTAAAGCATAACCAGGTTTCAGTACCAGTACCTTTCAGAAGGAAACAGAAACTTTCCAAAAATAGGTTAAGAATATAATGAATTTTGCTGACCACGAGCTCCATATAGTACAGCAAAGGGTTTGGGGTGGGTCAAATTAGTAGTGGGGAACTTGGCTCAAATTAGGCTATGCACAAATGCATGAATCCCAATGACAGGACACGACATAGGAAGTCTGAACTTCTTGGGCAAAATAAGGTGAACAGGAAGAAAGGTAAGATTGAATTAGTCTTAATGGTCTCTTAGGTCAGTGGTCGGCAAACTGCGGCTCGAGAGCCACATGCAGCTCTTTCGCCCCTTGAGTGTGGCTCTTCCACAAGATACCACGTGCAGGCGCGTGTACAGTGCGATTGAAACTTCGTGGCCCATGCGCAGAAGTCGGTTTTCGGCCTGGGCGAGTCAATTTTGAAGAAATACTGTTGTTGATATTTGCTGTTGACTAATGAGTTTGCCGACCACTGTCTTAGGTGATAAGCAAAAAAACAAACAAACAAAAATAAACTAGTTCTAACTATTGCCTCCTTATTGAGACTAGCTTTGTAGTCACAGCAGCTTGCATGCTGCCCCCTACCCACCCCTGACACTGACACACACACACACACACACACACACACACACACACACACACACACACACTTTCTTCAACCTTTACCTTATCCAGGAAAGATCCTAGCATCCAGCATTATAATTTCCCCCTTGCAAAAAACCTTAAATCCTTCACACCCTCTCCTCTGCACTTGCCTCTAATTGTTGAAGAAAAAACCACAACACACCATCTAGTCTAAGTTTAAATTCATAAACACACATTTCAAATGGGCACTCCACACTGCTCAGCTACACTACATTTCTACAGTATGTGCGCTTTCCCCACTTTCCAAAGGGACCATCTCAGACCTCCTTTCTCCTTAAATCTTCCATGTCAGTTCTTATTTCATCAGGGAAAACACAAAGAATACAGAGGACCTCATTTCCCTACACCAAAATTGGTTCATCTGTCTGCATCCAGTTGCATACTTTCCACATTCCCTCTCATCCTTGCTCTTGAAGATCAAAGGCCAATCCCTCCACCATTTCTGTACTTGATCCTCTCAGCTCTTATCTTCTCAGTGACTTTGGCACCTTATCCCCTCCCCTGCAAAATGATTTTTCCTTCTCTCTGTCATTCTTATGATATAATATTACTCATCTTTTAAAACAAACTGAACAAACAAAAAATTCCACTACACATCAAAACTTTTTTCACGTTTGTGAAAAAATTAAAACAAAACACTTTTTTCACAAGCATTATTTCCAGATGTTGTCACCACTTGTTTGCTTTCATTTCCTCCACCTGAGCTCCCTTCTCCAACTTCCACCAATGCTGCTCTTGTCAAGGCAGACTTTGTCCTCAGCATGTTGACAGATCCAATGGTCACTGTTAATTTTTATATCTTAGTTGACCTTTCAAAAGTGTTATATAAAATACTTCATTGTCTTGGCTTCTGGGAGACCACTGTCCTTTTCTTCCTACCTTGGTCTTTTTTGCTGCTGCCGCCTCCTCTGAGCACCAAATATTGTATTTGATTGTAATAAGAATCAGTCATCTTCATCTATGTATTCCAAAAGTAATCTCAGCTACTCTTATGGCTTTAAAATTATTTCTATGCTTGCTAATAATGACCCCTAAGTCTTTATCTGCAGTCCTGAATTCTCCCCCACAACTCCAAATTTTGCATCTAACTGCCTACTTAACATTTCCACTTAGAAATCTAAAAGGCATCTTAAACTTAACATAGTCTACAGGACTTTTGATTTTCCTCCCCCTCCAAATATCTCTTCTCCATTTTTCCCACCTCATGAACCAACACACCTATCTACCCCATTAGTTATGCAAGCCAAGTATCTTGAAGCCATCTCTAATTCCTGTTTTTTTCTCATATCTTATAACCAATCTATGAATAATTCTGCTAAGCCCAAATTCAAAATATATCCAGAATCGAATAACTTTTCACCACTCTATGCAACCACCCTAGTACAAATCATCATTATGGCCCACCTGGACTATCAACTTTCTAACTGACCCTGCTTCTACACTTGTCTGTCTCCTAAAAAATCTTTTCTTCACACAGCAGGTAGAATTATCTTTAAAATATCAACCTGATCACATCACGCTTTCTCAAAACCCACTAATAGTATCCATTCACATTTAAAATAAAAGCCAAAATCCTTAGTTGGCTTACAAAGTAGCATACGACCTAGTCTCTAGTCACCTTTCCAATCTGCTCCTCCTTCCTGCCTATTCTGCTCCATCCACAATGCCCTTCACACACGCCAAGTTTAATATGCCCAGGGGATTCCTCCACAACACAAACAAATGAAAACAACAATAAATGAACTAAACAAGCAAACAAAAAATGTCAAAAAACTGTGCTTGATTATCTTATCATTCAGATCCTCAGAGAGGTCTTCCCTAACTACCTGGTCTAAAACAGCCACCAATTACCCACATTATTTGAATTTTCTATATTGTATTTGTCACCAACTCTCTGATATTTTTCGTATTTACTTATTACCTCAGATTTATCCTATCTATACCTCTTCACATAGCCATAAGTTCAAGAATATACTAACCATGACAGCTTAAGCCACTGTATCAAGACGCATATCATTAAATTAATGAATCTCCATTTTACATACTGTAACTTAAAGGAGTTACCTTATTGAAGGATATAACTACTTGGTGATAAAGCTTTAATTCAAAACCAGGTCTACTGATATTAGTTTTTACCTCTCTTTGCTACTGCTAGTCTCATGTTCATCTTTTCCACTCATATTTAGGCATTAAACTTCATGTCATAAATAACCAGGTTCCTTAATCCTTTCTTTTAAATCTTTCACTTGCAACCTCAAGGTAAATGTGTGCAGGCTTGAGGACATTATCTCGAGCATCTAAAGAGGTTTACAAAAAGGAGTTGAGTTCTACATGAAAATAAACTCAGACCTCTCACACTACAAGCAAAGTTGGCTACAGAAAATTTACTTTTAAATAAAATTGGATGTACGAAAAATATCCATTTATAATTAAATTCTGCAGTAATTATAAACGGTCATTAAATTTATAAAAAATAAAAATTCCTGGGACTTTTCCCCCCTCCCCACATGGGAGTCTGTGCTGTGAGATTCTTTCCCCCTCCCCACATGGGAGTCTGTACTTGTTCTTCAATAAACTCCCACCTTTGCTATACAAAAATAAATAAATAAATAAACAAACAAACAAACAAACAAATAAATAAATAAATATTCCTGAAGTAACAAAACTAGCAGTTGCTACAACAGAATTTTCCATTGCAAGATATGCTAGGACACCAAGCAGACACTGCCATTAAACTGACAGTAAAAACAAAGACTTTGATGAGTCAGTCTGAACTCATGTAACCTTAAGATTGATACCAGGCTCTCACCTCATAGAAGACGGAGGAAAGCAAAATCACAATGAAGAGGGGCATGATGAGCACACACAAGCAAATACTCAAAAAGAGCCTTCAGATAAGAAGTAATGAGGGTAGAAACAGGACCCAAATTATATTCTCCAGATTTCCTAATACTCTGATTCGTAATTCTACTCTTTTAGCTAAAATTTAAATGATGTAATGTAAGCATCAAGTTTATATAAAACCATGTAAGACACAGTTTAGGAAATCCATTCCCATAAATCACTTTCAACTAATCTGAATGACTGAAAGACAAGGTTCACAGAAAGCCTTTTATTAGTCAAAATCCAATCAGAAATATTCTCCAAAATGTTTCACAGTGTCATAGAAACTACAGCGAAACTACCCAAATCCCAATGCCTTTTACCAAAGAAAGTACCCGCATTTTCTACTTACCAGTCCTAAAATAATTCATAATTGAATCTCTAGAAATTCCTGGAATCTTACAGGTAGAAAATAGCATTCGGAATTGATTCATATCCAGAGGAGTATTTCCAACTTTATCAACAGGTAATTTTTCTCTATTAAAACAAAAAGTAAGTACTTTAAGAAGTAATTATTAAACTTATAAACCAAATAGTCACAACTGTAATATTCATCCCCATCTAAGTAAATTAAGCTTCTCAACTTTACCTGACACTTTGGGTAAATTTCATACTAAATTCACCTTAAGTATCCTTACTTTCTTAACAGTTGCCAGTAGTTCAAGTTATGCCAAAGACTTATGCTTCCTCTTTCCAATTGCGTGCCTTCCTTTGGAGGCCAGTAGTGTTCCATATGGGGTGCCGGACCCCCAAAGTTGACATTCAGTTGTGATGGTATACGGACATCCAGGTAGGCAACATTCAGCCACCACTCTTCCAGCTAAAATAAAGAACATCAGATAATACACGAATATGTAAAAAATAAGTTACTGTCTACTTGGTGTGTTTTTTTTCCTCTCTTCTTTCCTTTGGAACTGTAGGGTCTTAAATACTATTGAGTTTAACTATGTTGTCAAAAACATGAAACAAAAAGCACTTTTAGGCAGATCAAGTTGAAGTCACAAATACCTGACAATGTATTTAGGTGTGTTTTCTCAGAGTACCTGAGAAAAATAGCTACTCAATAAATCCTCAATGAAGGGATTTACAATTTTCCTTTTCCAAGCAAAAACTAAAATACTAAACCAGAAATATAAAAACTTTTTGAGTAGGTTTAAAAAAAACTAATTTAGGTTTTTCACAAACAATGTTCTGAATCCCTCTTTCTCTATATGCACTTTAATTTCATGCATCAGTAAGCATATCTTATCAAGTTACCTAGAGTTATTTTTGAAGAAACTGATGTTCTCAATTACAATGAGTCATTCAAAAAAAGATATAAATAAAAAGGATACAGGCAAAACAACTTGTTACCTTTACCCTAATTTAATTAAAATCATTCAAGGCTCGCCCTGGCCAATTTGGCTCAGTGGATAGAGCGTCGGCCTGCGGACTGAAGGGTCCCGGGTTCGATTCCGGTCAAGGCCATGTACCTTGGTTGCGGGCACATCGCCGGTGGGGGTTGTGCAGGAGGCAGCTGATTGATGTTTCTCTCTCATCGATGTTCTAGCTCTCTATCCCTCTCCCTTCCTCTCTGCAAAAATAAATAAAAATATTTTTTTTAAAAAATCATTCAAGGCTCTCCCTGGCCAGTGTGGCTCGGTTGGTTGGAGCATCGTCCCATATACCAAAAGGTGGTAGTTTGATTTCTGGTCAGGGCACATACCCAGGTTGTGGGTTCGATCCCATTGGGGCATGTGCAGGAGGCCATCTATCGATGTTTCTCTCTCTCCCTCCCTCCCTCTCTTCCTCTTTTTCTCTCTCTGCGATTAATTTTTTAAAAAATCATTCAAGGCTCAAGATTGAGAATAAAGCAATCTGGAAGTATAAAATTTTATTATTCCATTATAGGTATCAATGGCTGATGAAAAAGATAAGCTTGCTTTTTCATTTCGAAAACTAAAATAACTGTAATCATTATTTCTAGATTAAAGTAATTTTTAATTCAATCCTTTGGTTTACACTACACAAGTAGTTAAGCTGAAGAAGTCAAAGAAGATTCCTTGTAGAAAACTGATATCCTTAATGACTATTATAGCAATGTGTCATTAATCTAATTAACACACAGAATACTCATAACCATTTCCCCTCCAATTTTGTAATGGCCCTTTTTCTCACATGCATTGTTTCAATACTTGTACACCACTGGTATGACACATGTTTTGATGTTTTTTAGGCAACAATGACCTGGATAATATGTTTATCTCAAGCCTGGTCTATAAACCACATGGAGTAGTTGTTAAAATAAGGATTTCTGGGTTTCATTCCAGAGATACTGCATCAGAATGACTGGTCTCAGGAAATCTGCATTTCAACAAGTTTTCCATATAATAAGAGAGTAGCCCACCCACAAAACTCAAAACTCCAGAGTTAAGCAGTTCATTCATTCTTTTGAATGATGATCATGACAACAGTGACTGCAAGAATTTTTACGGTAATAATTTTAAAACGAAAGCTATGTACATTTTTATTTTTCATTTTTTAAGCATCATCAATTTTCTAATCTTAAGTATAATAACATACACACCCAATTTCTTTTTTCTTTTGCCCTTTCAAGTAATTTCTGGTGCAATTTTTCTCCGATACCATTTTGAAATTTTTTGACAATTTCTTCAGTTTTCTTATATTCTTCTTCATTTGCAAATGGCTTTACTATAAAGAAAAAATATGCATTAAAGTAGTTAGACATCAGGTACCACAAATCCACCTCATTATTACTTACACAAATATTGAGACTCAGTTATGTAAAACAATTATGGAATATTAATTATCACAGCAGTTCAATAAATTAGAGTTTATAACATAAAAATAGCTAAAGAGCAACAATAAAAAATACTATAAAAAATAAAACAGTGGAAATTATGTAATCTAATAACCATTTTCTAAAAAATTATTTTAAAGTCATTATGGATGATGATAGTTAAAATGACAAAGGCAGGACTATCATGTAGCTATCAGTCCAATAGGAAAGTAAATCCTGTTGAGCCACAAATAAGAGAAATTAAAGCATCTTTTCACCAATGTTCAAGCAGAGCCTTGGAAATGCAATGTGCAAGTATAATGCCTGCCCAAGTATAGTGCTTGGTGCCCTGTGGCCAGTAATGGTTTCCTTTACAAAAAAAAAAGTGAGAGAGAGAGAGAAAGAGAAAAGAAAAAGAAAAAAGAAAGATACAGGGTTCTTAATCCATCAAAACCTAGTGCTCTGAAAATTAAACTATATCTACAAGTATTTTACAAATTTTAGAAATATTGGGACATTAATATTTACCTTTTGTCCTATTTTGCCTTTTCAAAATCTTATCTTAAAATCAATTTAAATATCGGTATGCATAAAGAGTACAAGTGAATAATCAAAAACAGTGATTAATCAGTGAATTTAAAAAAAAAAATACTAGAATTTCCAGATGAAAGTAGATGAGAAAAAAAGAGAGAGAAAAAGAATTTAAAAATCATGTAAAAACCAAATGGCTTCCAGTTAAAGTGAGCTAAATACATAGATTTACCTCCACTACTTCTAGAAACTCACTAAAATGACAGTAATTTAAAAGGTATACTAGTAAATCTGTCAGGACAAAAAAAAAGAGAGAGGACAGCAGATACATCAAGCTAACATTTTACAAATTACAAAATACATGGGAAAATGGCAACTGACTTTGTAGAATGAAGCAAAGTATCTAAAGCGGGAGGTAGGGTCGAGTTAGGTACAAACCAAGAAGCAAGCCAATTCTTGCAATATAATCCTAGAAAGGCTCAAGAATTCAAGACACATGTAATTCCAAAGGCAGGGGGCAAACTGAGGCTGAAAACAGTCTTTAGAAGCAGCTCACAATTGCCCTATCCACACTGGCATCTGTATAAAAAGCCAGGAAACTTCCTCCAATGCCAGTAGAAATGTGGAGGTTTACTCTCAGGAGAAGTTAAACCAGACAAGGAGAATACCTAGGTTCTAGTTCAAACTGAAAAAAGAGGGCTGGATTATGATGAAAATGCATACCCGGAACAATAAGTCTTCCAACCCCTTCCCTCTTCTAAGCTCCCCAAACACCAGCAGTCTGGCTTATGCCTTCTAAACAAATGATAACAGGATTCTTCTTTGGTAAAACTGATCAGTATAAGAGAAAGGAGTACTGGTATTTGGGTGTGACCTAGGACAGTGGTCGGCAAACTGCGGCTCGCGAGCCACATGCGGCTCTTCGGCCCCTTGAGTGTGGCTCTTCCACAAAATACCACATGCGGGAGCGCACGTACAGTGCGATTGAAACTTCGTGGCCCATGCACAGAAGTCAGTATTTTGTGGAAGAGCCACACTCAAGGGGCCGAAGAGCCGCATGTGGCTCGCGAGCCGCAGTTTGCCGACCACTGGGCTAGTGGGGACATTTGGATCAACAGCATGAAGAGGCAGGTGACATGCCACGAAGTTTCAATCGCACTGTACGTGTGCGCCCGCACATGGTATTTTGTGGAAGAGCCACACTCAAGGGGCCTAAGAGCCGCATGTGGCTCACGAGCCGTGGTTTGCCAACCACTGCCCTAGAAGGCTCACTCTAAGGCTCACTAGTCACCAAGCCCTTAGACCCATGCACACAGAGCTCCTACTCAGTTTTTTAGGGTCTGACTCAAATAGGAATGTCTAAGGATTGCCAGATATTTGAGGAAAGTCACATGAGTCAGAGAGAACTAACAAAGGATTGGTAATATCAAAGAGTAAACAGACCAAAAAGGTGACGGCATTAATAATGAATATACATTCCAATTTTCAAGAAAGGAGATGCCAAGGTGTGCAGGAACACAAGTAAAGTGATGCTCCAGGTGATGCAGCAAAGACTTTTACCTTTCAGGAATGCTGGATGTTCAAGCTGGATTCAGAAAAGGAAGAGGCACTCTAATTGCAAGCATTTGGCATTTGCTGGATACTGGAGTGCTCCAAAGAATTTCAAAAGGTTAGTCTATGTGTTATAGACTTCAATAAAGCCTTTGACTACATCAATCGTAAAAAGCTATTGGTTGCTCTAAAATAAATGGCGTGCGTCAGCATTTGATCATCCTGACATGTAACTTGTACAGTGGACAGGAAGCCTCTGTCAGAGCAGAATATAGAGAGACCGGAGAGTTTCCTACAGGCAAAGGTATCCGACAAGGGTACACTTTGTCTCCCTATTTGTTTAATCTGTACACAGAGCATATCATACAAAAAACTGGACTAGATTCAAAGGAAGGAGGAGTGAAAATTGCTGGAAGAACTACCAATAATTTAAAATATGCAGATGACACCATCTTACTGGCAGGAAGTTGCAATGATTTAAAAGGACTTCTGATGAAAGTGAAAGAAGAAAATGCCAAAGCAGGTCTATATTTGACCAGCAAGGCAAAAATCATAACTACAGAAGAAATATACAACTTTAACAAGACAATGAAGATATTGACATTGTTAAGGTTTTGCTTACCTTGGCTCAGTCAGCAATTCAAATGGAGACTGCGGCCAAGAAATCAAGAGAATGTGGAGACTTGGAAGGGCAGCAATGAAAGAATTAAAAAGATCACCAAAAGCAAAGCTGTGTCATTAGAGACCAATACTTAGATCATCCACACCCTTGTATTTCCAATAACCATATGTGGGTGCAAAAGTTGGAGAGTGAAAAAGGCTGACAGGAAAAAAAAACTGATTCATTTGAAACATGGTGTTGGAGGAGAACTCTATGGATACTCTGGGCCACCAGAAAGGAAGAACAAGTGGATCCGGTAGTTTGCCTGAAATATCACTGGAGGAAAAAAGGACAAAACTGCAGCTGCCCTACTTTGGGCACATCATGAGAAGGCAGGGTTCTTTGGACAAGACAATAGAACTGGGAAAATAGATGACAACAGGAAAAGAGGAAGACTGGGGGGACTGACTGTGTGATATAAGCCACAGGCATGAGTCTACAGGAGCTGAGCCATTGTGGACATCACTCATTCACAGTCGCCAGGAGTCAAAGCTGACTCAACAGCAATTAATACACTAATAACAGAAGGGAAACATTTTAAAATTCAAAGCTTAGCCTAGAAGGACCCAGATTGGAGCAACAATAGTTCCAGAAACAGAAAGCAAGAAGTGAGGGAAAAACTACCAAAGAAATATTTCAAAAATTTCCTAGAACTAAAGAATATTAACTTTTTCAACTAAAAGAACCCACTGGGTATTCAGAGAAATAAAGGAAAGAAACCTACAGACTAAGCGACATCATTGAGAAATTCAGAATGGTAGGGATAAAAAAAGAGGTTGCCAGACAGTAAAAAACAATAGGTCACATATTAAAGGACTGAACATCAGAACAGCATTAGACTTCTCAAGAAGAACAGACAGTGCCTTCAAAATGCTTTAAAAGCATCATTTCCAACCAAGAATTCTACAGTCAGCCAAACCATCAAGCATGAAGGCAGAAGAAATGTTTTTTAGGTCCTACATTATTTTCCTCCCAGATACCCTTTCTCAAGTGGCTACTGAAGATGTACTGCACTACAACCTGAGAAGAGAAAGGGGAAAAAAGAGGAAGACAGAATCCAAGAGCCAAGAAATCCAACAGAGGAGGGGGGAAGAGAGCTGCCAGGATGATGACCAAAGGAAAGCCCTAGGACAGTGATGGCGAACCTTTTGAGCTCAGCGTGTCAGCATTTTGAAAAACCCTAACTTAACTCTGGTGCCGTGTCACATATAGAAATTTTTTGATATTTGCAACCATAGTAAAACAAAGACTTATATTTTTGATATTTATTTTATATATTTAAATGCCATTTAACAAAGAAAAACCAACCAAAAAAATGAGTTCACGTGTCACCTCTGACACGCGTGTCATAGGTTCGCCATCACTGCCCTAGGACAACAGTTGCCCCGCCAGCTCTAGAAACGCTGATTGGAGCAAGAGGGTAGAGGTGTCAGTAGGGTTGCCTTCAAGAAAAAAATGAAGCTGAAAGAATATCTTATGTATTTAAATATATTCAGAGATTCTCAGTGTATTAAAGTGTTTGGGAGTGAATTCGTTGTGAATACAAAGCAAACTAAGCAAACGAAAAATGGGGGGGGTGGGGAGAGGCAGGGGCAGGATGCAGCAAAAAGGTAATCAAAGTTCACCAAATGGTTCTCATGCGAATAACTGCAAAACCATAAACCCTAAATCAGTGGTTCTCAACCTTCCTAAGGCCGCGACCCTTTAATACAGTTCCTCATGTTGTGGTGACCCCCAACCATAAAATTATTTTCGTTGCTACTTCATAACTGTAGTTTTGCTACTGTTATGAATCGTAATGTAAATATCTGATATGCAGGATGTATTTTCATTGTTCATGACCCACAGGTTGAGAACCGCTGCCCTAAATGGTCAGCTAAATCGACTCAGGTAAATACTGATCTGAAACCCTAAGTTAAATCAGGTGAATACTAATTTAATCCCAACTGGTGATTTGTACAACTATATTGAGAAAATGAGAGGGAAAATGTGGATATGTTGAATTGCATATATGTTGGGGAGGGGGAAAGGTTAGAGGGTGTAAGAGAGCTAAATCCACATATTTTTAGGAACTAATTCATAATATCAACAACCAAAAAATCCATGCAATAGTAGCATAAGAATTTTAAGCCTGGAGATAACACAAGAACAGATAAATTATTTGAATATGCTAAGCTTGAGAAAGTGGAATTTGCAGAGGGTGGGAGGATGAGGCAAAGAACTACTACTTTTTATTGTAAGCCTAATGGTACTATCTGACTTTTTAAACTATGGAAAAATTAACGTAAGAGAAAAATTTGGACATTTTAAGGATATTTAATTATCATGAGTCTAAAAGAAAAAGCAATTAGATCGTCATCGACTTCTAACAATTTCATAGTTTTTTAAGTTGCTAACAATAGTTATACTAAAAGATTACAAACATACCTGATTCAAGGTATTTTTTTAATGATTCTTCAAGTGAAGGAACAGGCAGTGATGGAAGAGAATCCTGGTACTGAAATGTTCGTTCCTCAGTTGACTTAGCCAATTGATTTTCCATGATGCAATCACAGTAGGAAAACTAAAAAAAAAAAAGACAGCACTCACAACTTCAACCTCATAAATATTTTTATATATATGGTAGGTCCAATACACTAAATCAGTATTTAGGTACCACAGTATAGCCAGGGCTTGGTCCTCATCCTTAATAATTTCATAAACTTCTCAGTGAGAGAACCCATTTTTAAAAAGTATAGACTCTGAAGGAAAGCCAAGCTTGCCACCCCAAAATATGCATTTTTTGGGATATTGATTATTTTAAGCTCGTTATTTTTAAGAAACAAAAGATTCAGGAAAAACTTTGACATTCCTTCAAACAACCTAAAAGAAGTTGATAGAGGACCTGCTTCAGAGAGGACAGTAATAGATAACTATAATTAAACTAGTGGCCTGGTGCATGGATTCTTGCACATTGAAAGGAAATTAATTAGAAGAAATATTTTAATATCGCTATTCACCCTTTCTCTATAATAGAAGTATCAACCAAATTCACGATCAACAATGACAGATCGAAACACATGCGTGCGATTGGCACCAGCGAGAGCTTTATATGTATCGCGCATGCACGAGTCAAAGTTTATTTTTAAATTGCCAGTGCGTGTCATATGTACCAGCTCGTCAGTCAGACAGACTGTCGGTCATTTAGCCTTTTATATATATAGATATAAGTTAAGCGTGATATACAGGTCACTTAGCCTTTTATATATATATATAGATATAAGTTAAGTGTGATCATTGCTAAAGATAGCCCAGCAAACATTCATTTACCAAACACTTGCTTTCCTGTCTCCATGTTAATTGCCTCCCTGCCCTTGGAAGCCCCACACCACAACCTCCCACTTCTTTTTAGCTCAAGATGGCAAATAAGCCTTAACTGCCAGACCTGTCCTCAGGGGCCCACATTCTTACAGAACCTCAGTATGTATATACGTAATAAATTTGATTACTTTCTCCTGTTACTCTGTTTCATGTCAATTTGATTATTGGACCAAATCAAAGAATTTAGAATGGTAGAAGGAAAAGTATGTTTCCTCCCCTACAACTCAAAGTGCTAGAAATCAAGGAGTAAGCAGTGGGACCAGGAAAATTATCATTTACTGGGCACCTTCTATTTGTTAAATATTGCAGTAGGTGTTACAGAACATGTGTTATCTCCCTAATCTCCATATTATTTCTGAAAGGTGGCATTCACTGCCATTTTACAAATGAAGAAACTAAAACTCAGACAGATTTGGTAACTTGCCTCAGATCAAACAAACAACTCAAATCCAGATCTGAGACTATAGTCTTCCCCTATACAATGCTACATAATAGTGGGGAGGGGACCTGCAGTAGGTCTAAAAGGGTAGGTAGAATTCAGATAATGGACTGAGAGAACTTTGGACAGCAAATATCTAAGAATATTACAGAATACATAAAATCACATGACAAACTTCTGTAATCTAATTGTGCAGATGGTATGAGACCTACACAGAATGGTTTCAAGTTTCCCAAAGCAATCTTGAACATTTTCCACAAATGTACTAATTTTCATCAGAAAATTTAAACTAACCCAAAGTGTGAATGAGGCATACAAGTGCTAAATGAAAAATGAGATTTCTCAAAAAAGCCTTTATAAAGTAATTATATATTAAAATAGCAATTGAGAAATCAAGGACCCCTAATATTGAGTAAGAATTCCCTCTCCTTTCAAATACTACCTTTTAAAACTAATATCAAAGACAAACAAAATATTCCACTCATAGGAGGTTACAGAATAAAAACATCAAAAACAAGGGTATGGTAGAGATTCTTTTCAGCCAATATAATTTCCCTTTCTTAACAGAATCTCAAGTTTTTGGCTGGACATGTAGCTACATAGCTATAGCTCTCCCACCCTCCCTTGGAGCTCAGCATGGCTTTGTGATGGGTGTGTCACCTCCAGGTCATGACCCTAGAAAGGGTTACATGTGCTTTGTCTCCTCACTGCCTAGCAGGTAGTCCCAACTGGAAGAGCACCTTGGGCCCATTTATGGAAGCCATGTACATAATGTACAGGCATACCTCAGAGATATTGTGGGGGTTCGGTTCCAGACCACTGCAATAAAGTGAGTTGTAATCTTTTTGCTGGTAGTAGGTCTTGTCTTCAATTTGTAAAAAATCTGTGAAGCGAAATAAAACGAAGGATGCTTGTAATGACGTTGTCAGAATCTTCCTACTAGCCCTGTACTCCTCCCTCTAGATTTATGAAAAGAAAAACAAAAAAAAAAGCTTTTATTTATACCATTGTATTTTGGGTTTCCTTTGTTAGGGTAGAAGAGCTTAGCCTATACCACTAATAAAAAGATATAATCCAAAAATGTGATACAATAGAGCTCTCACAGTTCCTCAGCCTCTTCCTGTCTGATGACTTTCGCTGCACTTCACTTTGACTACCCATAAACATGGCTTTAGACCTAATGAAAATGTAGATCTGGGTTCAAATACCAACTCTGCACTTTCTAGACATGTGCCCATGGGCAACTAACTTTAACTCCATTTCCTTAACTGTAAAGAGCATCTATAATAATCAAAGAGTAATATGCAAATCGACTGAACAACCGAACTGCAGAATGACCCACTGAACAGCAGAATGACCATCTGGATGACCACGCTATGACACGCACTGGTGCCAGGCCAGCCAAGGCGGGTGCGATGCAATTGGTGGAGCTGG